GGGGGTGTTTGACGATGTTCCTTGGTTGGGGTGGGTTGGGGTGACTATATAGGAGGTCTGTGGATGATAATGCTGTGGAGGTGTGATACTTTGGATGATGAAGAGAAAGAGGTTAGGTTCATGGTTGGTGGATAGGTAAGGTGGTGAGGGGGAGTAAGAGAGGGATTGTTGAGGAGTTTGATGGTGTGGATAGTGATTGTAGGCATTGTGTTTGTTTTAAGGGATGGGTTTTATAGGTGCTAAAGATTCAAGTGATACAAGGCCTATTAATCAAGGTGTTGTTGTGGAATTTAATAGTATAAGTGATTTTTGGGAAGGTGTTTGTTTTTACAGGTGATGTATTCCCGCGTGTGAGACTGGTTGGATAGCTATATAAGTACGTCGAAGTATACGTTGTATAACCTTGATACGAGGATACTCGACCCCTACTTTGTTAAATTCTTATATCTTTCGGTCTGAAAAGAGTTTCAAATTTAAAAAAGCCGCATGAGAAGGATATCCTCGTTTACATCATAAAAGCATCCAGGCCTGACCAAAGCCTTATATCAAGGTTATACTTATGGCTATAACAAAGTTTCGTGGTGTTGTGGGTTTATTAAGGGATATATTTGTCAATAGCTAAGTTTCTATGAGAATTAATCGTTTATAGTATAAATACCATTTCCATGAAACAACTGAAGTTAAATCTAATTTTAGGTATTTTCGTTAGCGAGGGAAAAAAAAGTTATACTTTACTTATAGACCTTTGGAATTATAAGGGGTTCTAGGTGGAAAAGATATACGATAGGTCGCTATCGTAGGGAAAGGGCGGAGCGACTATTAAACTAGAAAATAGGATTTACTTATTGTTTACTTGTTTAGAGCGTAGAGGAAGAACGAAGTAGCTATTATTATTTCCCTCTTAAAACATGGCAAGGCTATTTTCGATAGTAGAATAGAGGTTCTACGGAAGAGTTTTTCGTAACGAATTGTTTAACGCCTATATGTAACCATTCCTAATTTAAATTAGTTCGTTAGTACCAGGGATATACTCCTAAATCAAGGACTTTAGACGAACACGTGCGAATATCTCATGGATAGGGAATAACTTTAGGTTATTCTTCCTACCTACTAGGTATAGAAGGTTTAATACGTAAGTATAGGTTAAGTTATTATAACCTGCCCCTATTAACTAATGGATACTAGGTATAATTAATATTACGTCTTGTTACTACTCGGCTAGGGTCCTCTAGGGTTATAACTTAATAAGGGTTTTCGAACTCGTTTAATTATCTTAAGCGAACCCCTCTAGATAGTATAGCTAGCGATATATCGAACTAGTGATAAACTAACTACTTCTATCTATTCTCGTTTAACCCAACCTTAACTTATAAAAAAGCTCTCTTCTTACACTTTATAGAATAGAAGAGACCCTAGACTTTAAATTTAGTATACGTAAATAGGATATGTAAATATATAACCGCGGGTACGAAGGAAATCTCTAAAATAAACCATTATAATATAAGCTCTTTATAAGCTTCGTTGAGCAATTAAAATAGTCGTTTGTAATAACGAGTTACAAATCCCATGCGAATAGTAATAGAGTCGACGATATTATTTCGACATATATCCGTATCCTACACATACGCATATCTACACTCGATCCATCAAATCCATCTGGATGGTCGGGTACCGTAGCTTCTCTTAGATCTAGCAACCGGCGAAATTGGCAATGCGTGTTCAGACTTGCTACCTGTACTGTTACCCACCAAAACCCCTTCCGAGAATACCACGAGTCTAAACAAAGCATCTCAAAAGCTTGTCCATCCAAGGAGGACCCTTCATCGTCCCACTAACAAACGTTCTCCGCCAAATCCTTTTTTATATGAAAGGGGGAGTATTGCTATAGTAAGAACCAAGCCACATTCCTCTCCAGTCACGCACTCATCTCGTTGGAAATCGCTTATTCCAGACATCCCACGGATTCACATCAAATATCCATAACACCAGAAACTCCAAGTCCCAATGATGAAATATCGCATAGCAGATTTGGCTTGTAGAGTCCGAGACTGCTTTACTAATTTCAGTATAATTCAAAGTACAGCACCTAACCCAGAGAAAAAGAAAATATCTACTTCCCCGGAAGGACACAAAACCACTACTGCTTACTTGAAATCCCATTCCCTCAAATCCATGATCCAGGATGCGAACCACGACACCTAAGACATACACCCCGCCTCTCCCATCTTGCGGTACTGGATATCTTTACATAAACACGCACGTACACCTTACTCCTCCACTTCCAATACCCACTTCTCGAGCTAAAAATAGAAAATCCAAGATCTGTTCTGATTTGAATTTGGATTGTATTGGATTTTAATGGATTGTATTGCGCCGCACCACATCACACCATTTCCTCTGACGGAACAGTGCTCTAGACCACGAGACCACGACCGCATCCCAATTTCTCTAATACCCTATTATCATACCAAAAACAAGCCGCTTACCAAAGTAAAAAGATTTAAGGAAAGAAAAAGAGTGAAAAGCTTTAGGACCTTTACATGTCTTTACTATGGTATCTTGAAGGAGATAGAGGATACCAGGTCCGAAAGGATTTCATAACGGCGCAGCACAGGACAGGTTACAGTATAATTCTCATAGGGTCTTTTGGTTACTGTGATTGTATCTTAGTTGCATGGTGATGGTATATATATTATATTCTCGAGATATAGAATGGAGGTTAGGTATCAAGGTAAAAGAAACTTCTCGGAATCTAATGGTAAAGAGATGGAATATAAGAATATTATGATCAAACTTATAATAAGTATACTAGAATAGGATAAGAAGGTACAAAATACGTTGGAAATCCTACTCTACCTAGTTCCTAAACCATAAAAATAGTAAAGTGAAATCTGTAGATAAGTATATAGAAGAAACCATTCTAGCTCGATCTTTTAATCTGCGGGTTTTATATAGTACATAACCTAGTCCCAAAAAAAGCTTACTAGAGCGAGAAGTAAGAAGGAAACAAAAGACCTTATTCCTTATACTAACAAAGAAATAGGAAAAGAAATATATAAACCATAGACACTAATCTTTATCTATACTCGAGTAGTAAGGGGGATATAGTATACCATAGAGAAGAGAGAACAGGGGGTTTAGGCACCAGCCAGTATCATCTTCTAGGATTCGGATTGAGATTTGTGTGTTATAGTATAGTGATTAATCCACCCAATAATCCCCAATCCGTCGCGTAGGATTAATAACCTCACCTCACCTCACCCTATCTACCTATCTACGCAGCCACCCCCAATCAACCCCCCTACCCACGAAAATACCACCGAGAATCGAGAAGCACCGAGCAAATATATCTATCAAGATCTAGATCTAGATCTAGAGAATAGAGAATATAAGATAGAGGGTCCCTCCCTTAGCTTATCGTGACAATAGTAGTAAGTTTACCAACTAATCAATAATAGTACCAAATCAGCTTACTCTTGTACTACATTACAGAGAAGTGGAATGAAATGGGGTATATGGAGGGTATATGATTTATGCTGTATTAAAGAGATGGAAGATAATAATATGGTATGGTGGAAGATGGAAGATGGACGATTACCTTAGATAGGGGATGAAAGATAAAGACTAAAATCCTTTAGTGCTACTCACGTATATACGCCACTCCACTCCACTCCACCCTCCTATGCTCCAATGTACCCTTCTCTACTCTAGTATATATATCTCACAAGGAACCCATACCAACACCCTCTGAACAAGAAAAAGGATAAGATAGAAAAAAAATAGAAGACAACGTTTTTTTAATGAAGTAGAAGGTGGGGCAATTAATCAATAAATCAATATCCTTAAGAACTAGTTATAGTAGCTACTCTCTCTACTCTACTTACCTAGCCTAGCTCGGTATAGTAAGATCTCCTAGAATTAACTCTACTCCACTCTACTCTTTATACCTCTCCCTAGCGTCCTATAAAAAAGCTAACTAATATAATAGCCTTAGAACAAAAAGGAAAGAAAGGGTAGATATTAAGATCCCGTCTCCCCTTCCCCTTTCAAAGGTAGAGTACGGTAGAAGGGAAGGTTAATATTAAAAACTATTTAAAACTATCCCTAAGATCTAAGAAACTACTTAGCGAACAAGCTAGATAGGTAAGGTAAGGTAAGTAGATCAAGTACTC